AAAAAAAAAAAAAAAAAAAAAAAAAAAATTAGCACATGAACGGGGTGACTTTCGTCCTTGAGTCGTAGATTTATTTATTTATTATAGAAGCAGAAATATCAATTAATAGTGGTGAATTTTATTGATTAATCTTTCAAATTATTATTATTATTTTGTATAAATAAAGTTTGGTATTTATCCTACAAAGTTCAAACACATGACTTGAACGGATCTTAGTGTATACGTGCACGTGTGCGCATTGATATCTTCAATAATTGACACAAAGTAAAGATTTTGTGGAAGCAATCGCCAGGCCTAACTCTATGCTTCTTTTTTTCATTTTGTTAAGATAATATGGATAATAATTGTGCCAGTATCTTAAAAATATTTTGTATTCAATGTAACAACTTAATAAAAAAAAATAGCATAAAGCATTAAACTCTTGCTATGTGTGAGTTTCGAGAAGGATAAGAATACTTTATATTCTATATAAAATTGCAAGAGACAGTTTTCATAACTTGAATTCGTTACCTTTAAGTTCAACCACAATAACGACTCTCTTCACTAGAACAATTAAAAGAAAAAGTTTGGTAATTTTTCCACATAAAAATCTCATGACTCGAGCAGAAAGCTACTCAGCGTTGAAGTAAGCAACACCGCTTCGTGTTCGTGCACTCAAAAGCACTAGTTAGACTAATAAAATTAGTTATTGATTGGTGTGATCGTTCTGTAGCACAATAAGATCTAGAATTAGTTGGACGCAATATTCTGACATCTAGCGGCGCTAAAGTGAGGTTTTCACTAAGGAAATTCATTATATATATATATATATATATATATATATATATATATATATATATATATATGATAATAATTTTTTGGTTAAGGGAGTTCGGATAGACCGCTTCCACCCTCTAGCTCCACCCATGCTTACATTAGTTTAACTTACCATTTATCGACGTAGTTTTGTTTTTCCTCAATTATGATAGACTCGAAAATAAGATAGCAATACATACATGGTTTATATGGCTGGTCAACTGTATGTTTAGTTGTGACTACTCACTTAACAAAAAAAAAAAATTTGCTAAAATCAAAGCTTTTGAAATACAAGGCATCTCTGGTTCATAAGATTTACGATAATCGTCGTGTTCTACATGCTAAATCTTCTATTATCCTGTGTTCTTTCCGAATATTTTTTATTTGTTGGAATAAAGCTTTTCTTTGCAGGGTCTAATTGGTAATAAACTTTATGAGCGATCGTCAGTAGTCCTAAAATAGTCCTCATGATAAAACTCACTTTGTGGAAAATCTTATGTTACATTAATGCTTATTTGAGTATAGACGGTATTTCTTTATTCTTCTGGACACACTAAAACAAAGCAATAGAGTGAAAATAGGTATCGCTCATGTTTTACAAAATTTGATCATCCTTGTATTGCACAATGTTAGCAGGGGTCAAAGGGAACATTCAATCACATGCAACCTGCAAGAATACACATATGAAAGGTGATATCTACTCCTACTTTTTATTTTTATTTTTCTTGACACCGCACCTAAATCAGGTCGTACGTAGTTCAAATCTACTCCTATTGATTTAAGATTTTTGCTTCGTGACCTTTCTGGTTTTGGGAAGCAATTGTTTGAGAGGTGCTTTTTCCTTGAACAAGGCACAATAGCATATCCTAATTTCTTTGTCAAAAGAAAACCTCAAAGAATCAATAAATGTTGAAAGGGAATAAAAGAGTACAACATTTAGAATTACTCTATACATGTGCTATGGAGGGAGATAATAAATATCTGGCAGAATAGTCGAGGTAAACAAAAGTTGGCAGTGGCGAAGACAAAATTTCTGCTAAGGGGGTTCAAAAAAGATAAAGAAAAAAATTTGAAAAAGACTATGGCCAATGTGAATTGAACCAGCAACCTCAAAAAAGTTTTGAACCTCCTTGACCAATGATGTATGCTTTTTGGATGTATTAAGATGATTTAAAATACAAAATATAGAGGCTTGTGTCATGACCCGACACATCATCATGCCACATAGGTGCCATTTGACATGTATTAATGCCATGTGGAAGCTTACAAAGGAGGAATGCTAGCATTTGTGAGAAGATTCTAGAGAAGTATGAACACTTCCTTAGGAAGACCCTAGATCCCTATGTATTTGCTAGGAAAGTCCTTGGAATCTTATAGGTTTGTAGAGAGTTCTAGAGAAAGCCCTTATCTTAAATATTAAGGACTTGTGTAACAATTAATATTTACATAATAACTCCTAGGAGACTAGTATATAAAAGGGGCCATTCATTTGTAATTCACCAAGCAAAATAATCAAGTTCTCTAAAATAAAAAGCCTCCTTTGGCAAATTTCTCGTCTTTCTTATCTAACATTCTCTTAGCGATCTTGAGTACTGACTTGGCGCAGCAAGATCGTGATCGAGTTGTGTAAGATCGTAAGCAAGTTGTCAAGTGCCGCCCGTGCGCTTGGTTCAAGACTAAGGACGTGACACTTGCCTTATATGTATAGTGTGATTTTTTTGGCGAAAGAGGTTCGGGTGAAACCCCTAAATTTACCCCTGCAAATTTGCCCGACCACCATATATCTTTATCGAAAAGAAAAAAGAAAGAAAGAAGAAAAGAATAAGAGTGCAATATGATAGTGGAGTTGCATTATTCTCTTCAAATTCTGCAGGTAGTGCATTCCAATTTTACTCTATGATATTAGTAATAACTAATAACAATTGATTAGAGTGGACCATTGTCAGGACTCAGGAACAATAGCTGGAGGTGTTGTCTTTTTTCCAGAAACTATGTCACTCTCCAAGATACGGATGGCAATTCTAAGGATCATATGACCAATAAAGATTTGGAGGGAGAACCTTCACTAGGACAAAAATCAATAATTGCATTGCACCAATATATAGATGTCATTTATATATAGTGTGTAGCTGTCATTAGAAGGTGGGATTGTGCCTTTTTGGTGACTTTAAATGGATCAATCTTTATCATTCATCTTGTCTTGTTACATTTTTACCTGATTACATTACCTGATTCAATCACCCCCAATGTATTCCCACAGCTAGGCTGTCAATGCTCCGAAAAAAGTTACCGACCACACTCTGGGTTTACACCAACTCGTGAATAAATATATGACATGTGCCTTTAAATACAGTATTACCACTAAATTATAATTATAAGAAATTAACATAGTTTGGTGTCAACATCGGATACATGTAAATACTAGTTGTTACCTTTGATGTCAACATAGGTTGTTTTTAATTTCTCCATATTGGCTATTTCTCAAATGCAGTCTGTGAATGATTGGTCTTATGCAAGAATTCTATCATTTGAAGCACAAGACAATGAGACATCGATTTTTTTATTTTTTTTTCATTTTGTGGGGGTGAGGTGGGGTGGGGTAAGAGATTATTTTATAAATTATTTGAACAATCAGAGAGGATACTATAGCATAGTGGTAAAGAATGATAGACATTGATGAGCACTATTGCAGTGATAAAAGGTCCTATTCCTTTATTAAGATTAGCTACTATTTTAAATAAAGACGTTATTTTCTTCTTCTTCTTCTTCTTCTTCTTCTTCTTCTTTTTTTTTCACATTTATGCTTTCAGGTTTTTTTCCATTACATGTACAGGAACAAATAAGTAGAAGAAGGATTTAAAAAAAAAAAAAGATAAGAAGGATAAATACAAGATCCTCAGAACTCTAATTGTAAAATCCTCATCCCTTCTTTCTTCCCTTCAAAGAACCTGCAAAAAGCACAAAGCCAAACCTTTTATATATACAAAAGAAATCATTTATTTTTTATAATACTAATTCAATAATTGAAACTAGCCTTTTTTTAATCTTAACTGCATTACACACCAGATTTCTCAGATGAAGCTTTCCCATTCAGAGATGTTTTCAAGAAACCAAAATGTTTCCCCAGAACAGATTTACCCTGAAATAAAAAAGGGATTGGCATTGCATATAATGGTCAATGAATAAACCATGACAAATTGACAATAGAAAAGCAAAGAAGGGAAATAGAAAAAATACCTTGGGATATGTTCCAGAGTAGCCTGCAACTTGCTCCATGTAAGTTGTAGTATCATTATAAAAACCTGTAGTATCCTGAAAATATAAGTGGCAAAGTTAAGTATTAAAGAAGAAGATTAAGTAGAACTTGCCCTTCTCATTAGGAATGGCAATTGTAAAAGAATGAGTTCTTCATATACGATGTGAGTACTGTTGAGACATATATAATATAATTAAGTCACGATAAGTATTCTTTCTATGATAATATAAGTTTTTGGACGAGATAGTAACACACATCAACACGGTAGAGTTAAGGTATTACATGCCCTCCTACATGTAATACAAGAGGTAAACGCCAGTGCCTAACCCACCGGGGCGAGACAAAGTCTTCTTAGTTTTCTGCTTTTTCGGTGATATCTACATACATGTCTCAAGGTAAATACCATCACAAGAAGGCTTTTAACATAGGATTTGAAAAAAAGGCCGCACCCCAAGAGGGTGTGATGTAGGCAACTAACACATTATTGATGGGTGATTCCATATAAGTCACACAAACACAATTTAACCGTTGCTCCAAGGCTCGACGTCTTTTGATAAGAAAAAAAAAGAAATTCAAAGTGGCACTTTTTGGTTTGTAAGACTATTGACAATTGTATGATTGAACTTGCCTTAGGGGAGCTGGAAACTGCAGAACTAGCAGTATCATCAAGACAGAGATTGTTTTGTTTTCCACTCTGCTCTTTTATTTTCTTGTTCTGCTTTGCCATTGCGTATTCAGAAACTAAAGGATAAAAAACATGTCCATTTTCTTCAGAGTAGTATTCTTTATCCTCATGGAAATTTGGTGGATCAGATGAAGCATCAGAAACCATAGACAAATCTTCTTCATCCACATATGCTGTTTTTCCCCTACCATCAATTTCATGAATATTATTTCTCCCTTTAATTCTATTGCATTTATCTGCTGAATATGAGAATTCATCAAAGTACATTGTCCAACCAGATTCACACTCATTAGTGCATTCAGAAGCTGATATGTTCATTCTTTAGACTTTCTTAGCAACAAATTCACCTAAAAAGATTTCAGCTTTGTTTCTTCAGAGTAGAGGCTCTTTTTGAAAAGAAAAGTTGGTGAAAAAGATAGAATTAAAGATTAAAATGGACTGATTCCTCTTTGTTGGTAGTCTATTTATAAGTAGGGAGAAGAGAAGAGTAAGGTATATAATACCAAACTTAGCACTGAGACTAGTACACTGGTTTGTCGTTTGCTTTATCCATTGCCTTTATTGTTTTTTCTTTAATTTTGTGAAGAATCAAAATTTGCCAGTTGGCTTACTAATGGGGTAGGGAAATAAAGAGAATAAGTCTTGGCCATTGGCAATTGATATTAGTTATACAGTGTTATGTTCAACAAAATTTTTGCAACAGCCAGCGGTGTACAAAGGAAACCGAAAAACCGTACCAAACCGATAATCCAAGTAAAAAAGAGGGAAACAACCCAAGTATAGTTCGATTTGATTTGGTTTGATGTTGGGGAACCTCCCCAAAAATTACGGATTATAAAACATAAAAAACCCCGACCATAATTGGTTTGGTTTGATTTTAATTAAAAAAAGTCAAACTACAACCAAACTTAATCCGACATTACATGTATAGAAGTTTTAAATATATTTAATATATAAAAGTATTTATTGTAATGTAATTTATAAATATTTTTTAACATTTTCATAGTTTTATCTTTTAACGTATTATTTCAAGTTTGTACTTATAATTTTTGAAGGCTCCAATAAGTTTTTTACTCCATAAATGTTAGTAACTCAAATAAAATCTAAACAAAAATCAAATCAATACTAATGCTAACAAAAGACATTTAATTCAATTGTACTAGGAATGACCATAGTGTTGGATATCTGTTTTTTTAGTTCTTCCATGGTTTAGAAAAAATACATAACTTTTTTTAGTGTTTAGTCATGTAAATAATACTAGTAGTTATTAGTCGTACTTATTCCACTTTGTAATTTTAGATTATGTTCATTTTTATTATGACTTATTAATAATATTTTGTATGCGATTTTATAATCTTTATTATTGAATATTTTAGCAAAATGTTGTAGCACCCCGGAAAATTTCGAAATACTTTAGCGCTATTAAGAAAGTTGATGTGCACTAATTATATAATTTTGTGTGCAGACCAGGACTATTAATATGATGGATATCAATTGGATATGGNAAACTGTTTGTCATTTGGACATTCCTACAAGAAGTTATGACCAAATTACCAAAGGCTGGCAGAGAAGTCTACGGATGCAAAGCATCCGGGGCCGTGTCCGAAAGAATGGCTAGCAGTGAAGTGCTGCCATAACATCCAAGGCCACGTCCGAAACCCAAAAATCTGGGACTATAAATACAAAGTCGGGGAAGGAGAGTATTTTGAGTATTGAGGGTTAGGGTTCTTGAGGTGAAGGGGCAATTTTAAGCTCAAATCAACCAAGTTAAGTTGTTAATGTTGTTTTGGGTTGATTCTTACTCAATATACATGAGTTCTAACATCATTCTTGCATCCAAATGCTAGATTTCATCATCAAATCCTTAAGAACACTAAAATCACCAAAGTTGTGATTTTTCAAGATTGAGCTACTAGAGGTAATTTCAATGCTTCAAACTTGTTTATTATGAGTAGTTAGAAGTATTTGAAAAATTTGTTGCAAGTTTTAATGGTTGAAAGATTGGATTATAAAACTCTGTTTCATGGCATGAATATTACTTTTGAGAAAATAAGAGAGAAGATGAATGATAATCTTGGCGATGAAATTTATGAATACAATGAACCTATGGAATTATTTGTTAGCAAAAGGTAAAAGTGATAACTAAGTAATCACCCGAATTCTATATTTTGCAAGTGTTGATTTTGGAAGACGATGAATATTAACTTGGTAGCAATGGACAATTGATGTAGTATCATTAATGACTTTGAATGAGTATTAAAACATAAGAATGAAGTTGAATGGTCTAGCATATAAAACTATTTGGCGATTTGAGTTGTTAGAGGCTTGTAGCCAACTTATGAGCCATATATGGATGTTGATCAATATCTTAGGTCATATTTTGATGTAATTAGGATATCTAATTGTAGATATCGACTTGCTGGTGATGTTGAGCATTTTAATCAACATTAGAATGATGGAGGAGGATTGAAAGCTTGTGAATGTTAATAAAGCGAAAGCGAGGTAATTTGATTAAAACTTACTTTTCTTGAGGGACTTTCTCTAAAAGCATGTTTCAAGTTAATACTTAAGTTGTTTGCAAATGTGCTTTCATACTTGTGGGGACAAACAAGTACGGATATCTCCATGTACTAGAATATTATGTTGCATATGTAGCGTCATACCGTTTTATAAAATTTTATTTTAAACCTTGTTGGCAAAATGACACTCAAGGTAAATGTTATAAGTTTTTATCAAAACTTACGTATTGACAAGAGTATACATATTTGAGTGCTAAAGATAAGTTTTTATGGAAAGTATTTCTTTTGAAAATTGACGAATAGAATAGCACTTGTGGTATCTTTTAAAGATTGTTAAATTGCTAAAGGCTTTAGCATGCAAAATGTTGTTTATTTAATTTTTGTTCAAATGATTTAGATTTTATATAAATGCTATGAGTTGATAAAAATAGATCCTTTGAAGCTACTATACTATGAATCTATTTTTGAAGTATCAAATGTTTTGGGAGTTACTTATGTTTACCGAGATTGACTTCGGATATATTGTGTTCGTTGTCATAAAACTACACGTGCCGGTGTAGGTGTAGATGTCCACTTTGTGGTATAGACTATGACAAAGTGCTCTCCCTCGAGAGAGTACTATTTTGTGCTATTATTAGCATGGCTGAGTCGATTCGTACGACACTACAATGAGACGACCTGAGCAAGTAGGGTATATGATACTTGTCGCTAAGTACATAACCTAGTTGACCTTCTTATGTCAGTGATGTAATAGTACTCCCATTGAAAGATAAGGATGATTTTCTTATGTTTAGGCCTAAGGAGCCGAAAGTGATTTCTATGACTTAAAACAAATTGAATGATTTTGTATAATTTTATCCAAAATCTTGGATTGATGTAAATGTCTTAAAAGTTTATATGGTGGATTATATTTTTACTTGGTTGCTATTTAAAATAACAAGGGTCAAGAATTGATAAAATTTCTTATTGTTTTATATCAAATATTGGTGCATTATTTTTATAAAGTTTATCCCAAGAACTTAAGTTAGAGAGAGTCTATGACACTTATTGAGTACCGCTGTGGTGTACTCAGCCCTTAGGCCCCCCTCCCTCCAGGGCCCTACTTACTTTACATGTTTCAGGATGATGTATGATACGTGGCATGCGGTCAGGCTAGGATGCATCTCTTTTCGAGGTATTATGAAGCACCACTTTTATTTCGTGGTAGCTATCATGTTTTTTCTTATTTTATTTTGTTGAAATTACTCCAACGGTTGGTTCTATTCTTTGGTATAGAGGCTCCATAGATAGTTGTGAAAGGTTATAGTAACGGAGTTGTACACGACATACATGAAAGTATATTTATTTACTTAGTCTCATTGTTATTATCATGAAAGACGTCATGTGAGATTTTGAATTGGAAAATATTTTATCATTTAACTTGAAAATGTATATGATTTTCAAGGAGCTTCCGCAGTTAAATTGATTTTGATGCATATGAATTGGGTGCATCACATGGTTTGGTTCGCTCGGATCGGGTAGTGTGCCGGGTGACAGTCACGTGATTTTGGGTCGTGACAGATATCATAAATCATCTCATATTTTATGTTGTTTTCTTAAAAAATACCTTATATAGTTCTGTCTTACTTGGATTAAAGAAATATTTGGAGCACAAATTCTATATTTTGTGGTATGAAGACTTTATGAAAAAAACCCGAAAATCCAAAAAACCCAAAAAAAACTGAGGTTAAAAAATCTGACTTTTATTGGTTTGGTTTGGTCTTTAGATTTAATAACCCGATACAATTGATTAGGTTTGGTAATTAAAAAACCCGAACCAACCCGACCCATGTATACCCTTACAAGCTAGCATACTCCAACTATTTGATTTCACAAATACCACACGCTAGTTTTGAAGTACTTCTTTCCTCTCCTTTTTTTTACTTTTTTAATATTGAAAATTTGTGATTTTTTGAGTATACATTACCTATATGACATATTTATACACATTAAACTACTCAATTGCAAAATAAAGGACCCAAAGTTGTTTCTCAAGTTGGGAACAACTTGCCACAATCATTGCACTTTTTACCAGGGATTTAACTTATATACGTTAACAATACAAATAAAAAAAACCGTTTGTATATATTAACCAATTCTAGCAAGTTACTTATTCTATCTTTTAGGTTACTAATATCATAGACAGGTACTTATAAGTTATAATTATCTTTGAAAATTCCTTTACACTGACCATTTATAGAAGTTCAAACTCTTCACCACCGGGGCGGCTCCAAGGCTTTGGGTAATAAGGCCATTGTCTTAGGCCCCTAAATTTTGAATGCCCCCAAATTTATTTTAAATTCTTATTATTATTGTTACTATTATATATTATATAATTTATATAAATAACTAAAATAAAGAAAGTGTTACAGTACATTTTTTGTTACTTGATTGATGTTATTTTATACAATAAATTTATAAATTATGATAATTTTCTTCCCTCATTAATTAGTATATTTGACAAGAGTGAGTTGTTATAGTGGTGAGCACCCTCCACCTCCAACCAAGATGTTGTGAGTTCGAGTCACCCCAAAAGCAAAATGAGGAGTTCTTGGAGGGAGGGAGTCGATGGTCTATCGGAAACAACCTCTCTACTCCAGGGTAGGGGTAAGGTCTGTGTACAAACTACTCTCCCAAGATCCCACTATTGAAATTATACTGGGATTAAGGGCCTCCGAATATGATTTCGACTTAGGCCCCGAGATCTATTGAGCCGCCTCTGTTCACTACATCCACAACAACAGTGGACACATTTTAAACGGACCATTTAACATTGTTCTGCTACAACGAATCTCAGTAGATCCCTGACATGCAACAAAAATCCAAATTATGTGCCTCACATGGAATTCTGTTCATATTTTTATGGAACAACAAGTTAGTGCGGAAAACATGTGAAAACCCAATTAACAGGATACCAAGATTGAGCAGCATACAACTAGGCAGGAAATCATTAGCAATTACAT